AATAACAAGTGTAATATCCACTAAAGCAAAGCTTAAGTATATAACACCAACACTCAGCTGGCAGATGCCATATCCATAATTCCTCTCTCTGAGCATGGAGGGACTGATAAATTGATCTGGCACTTGCATCCTAAAGGCTTATTATGCAGAAGAAAGCAGGACTTCAGGAGATGGCCAGTTCAAGTTTGGACCCATTGCTCATTGCAAGAATGTGGAAGGTAACATGGCATTTGAATGTGAAATCTAAAATAAAAAACTTTATCTGGAGATGTTGGTTTGGCCATTTAAGCACACATGATTAGTTACTGAAGAGGAAAATGATGGTGGATTCTATCTGTGATGTTTGTGGAGAAGAGAAGGAAGATATCAACAATATTCTGTTTGATTGTCAAAGAGCTGTTAATTGATGGAAATTGTGTGGCTCAAATTGGAACTCCCAACAGGTTAGTGGCATGTTGTTTCAAAGCTGGTGGGTTAAAGTATGTTGCGCCTCAAATCTAATTATGAAGGAAGACAGGCTGGGATTGTCTACAGTGCTTATGTGGCACCTTTAGAAAACCAGAAATAAATGGCTTTACAAAGGTGATTGGATCATGACAAGCAGATAGTGGAAGATGCCAAATTAGAGTGGACGGAATGGAAAGACTCCAAACATGTCAGAGCTCTTGATGTATGTGCTTACTCTTATGATCATCTGCAACAGCATAAATTTTTCAAGGAAGTAGGTAAGTTAGCTATGACTCTCAGTGCTTCATCAACTAAGGATGCTGAGATGGTTGTGGAGAGCATTATGTACCAGCAAGGAGCCATTTTGTTTCAGTGGCAGACAGCGTTGCAAGGTTCATTTGAGGAGCAGGAGGGATGGCTGTTGGCTGTGGCTTAGGGATTGAACAAAGCAAAAGAAGCTGGCTGCAGTCATTTTTCCTTGTTGCTGAATTCTAAGAAGTTGGTGAAAGAAATCCTCAAGGGACTAGCTTTGGAGGAGAATATGTATACTACATTGTCTATCCTTAGAGACTTGGTGGACATTTGTCAGGTCTATGTTGGTACCATTTTTTAAATATTTTGTAAAGACTTCTTTGGCTTTATGTCTTTGTTGTAGAATGTAGCCTTTAGGGTTAGGTTTTACCTGGCTCGTGCTATTTCATTGCTACTGTAAGTGATGAATGGTTGTAGCCATTTGGTTACCGGATATTTTTTTGAGTTTTAATGAATTTGTTTGCCGTTTGAAAAAAAAAAAAGGTATTTTTTTTCTTCATTTTTAACCAGCAAAACTAAATCGGAGAATTCCACCTGCCTTGTCATAAATCTTATCCACTTAAACATTAAATATTTGGAGATTATGTTGCGAATATATATATCATAAAATATTTATAAAAAATAAATTAAACTACAATTTATACAACATAAATTAAACTACAAAATAAATTAAACTACAGGTTGACAAGCATTTTCGGTCAACGGTTAAAGTAATGAATAATGAGAGTACGGGACTAAAAACAAAGGAAAGATATAGTTTAATTATGATTTTATTATATGATCACGACGTCGGCCTCTCGTACGAGGTCGGCACTTGCGATATACTTACAATTCTTACAAGGGATTTCTTACAATTTTAGAGAGAGAAAGTAGAGAGAAGGCAGAGTTGGTTGAGATCCAACAACCCAAAATAAATGAAATGAGTTACTATTTATAGCATCCTTAAATGAGGTATTGTTCACCGGTGTTGTCATACAATAGTCCTGCAGAGCAATTCGGCGTCTCCCTGATAGTTATTTAATGCGATTTGAGGTTTCTTTAATCATTGCCTGACAGGCATTTAATGCAAGCATGGGGGCATTTAATGCTGACAGACTTTCTTGACTAGGCTTGATTGTAGAGTGACAGGCTATGACAGCCCGTCCCATCGGCCAATGATGACCTCCCAAGTGGGATTATTTTAATATTTACCGACCCTCGTCTTTGCTTTTGGAATGGTCGCTCCGGATCTTTAGGTCGGCACTTTTCTTGAATATGCTCGTGGGACAACCAGGACTCTACTTTCAGCCTGGTACCCCCCAGGTCGGCCCGTGCATGCACTAAGCCGGGTGCCGGCCTCGGGAAATGTTCCCATGGAGGTCCTGAGTACTTTATTTCTCGGTTCAGCTCGGCACTTCTGTGCCGGACCGGGTTCTCAGCCCGGATCTTGGCAGAAATTCTATGGCACCACATGTGGCACCATATTATGGTGCCACAACATGATGTGGCATATTATGATTGGTTTTCTTTTATCACACATCATGTTGTGGCACCAATCATAATGTGCCACATCATGTTGTGGCATGTGGTGCCATAGAATTTCTGCGGATCTTGGCAGGTAATGTCTTCCCGGTTCATCTCGTACTAACTCGGATAAACACTACAATTTATAAAAAATAAATTAAACTACAAATCATGGAACGTTTCATAGTTTGTAAAGTTTATCAAATAAATTAGAAAAATATATAATGTGTAAAAAAAAAAAAAAAAAAAAAA